ATTTTGCTTTGTCTCCCTTTGTCTCCCATGGCATGTCTGGATGCTGGGCTGAGATCACTTTGCTTTGTCTCTCCTTGTCTCCCCTTGTCTCCCAAATGCAATCCCGGAGACAGTCACGCACTCCTTTCACAGGAGCAAGAACCTTTCACAGGTCAACCTGTTCCAGCGGAGAGGGCAGAAAACACTAGTGCAGGCACCAAACCTGAAAGACAAAAAGAAAGAAATCGCATGGGAGACGAATGAATGGAAATGCTAGAGACAAATGAAAGGAAGTGGGAGACAAACCAGGAGACAATGAAAAGAAGTGGGAGACAAATGAAAGGATGTGGCAGACAAGCCAGCGGGGAACCCCACCACAAGCACCCAGCCTGGGAGACAAATGAAAAGAACTGGGAGACAAATGAAGAGAAGTTGAAGACAAATGAAAGGACGTGGGAGACAAGCCACACCCAGCCTGACAAGAACTGGGAGACAAATGAAAGGAAGTGGGAGACAAGCCACCAAGGCGACCATTCTTTAAAGCATTGAGAACCCCTAACAGTAAACTGTTTGGGGAAAAAGAAAACTCCGACTGCCGCTGCTGTTTGGGGTCGATGCTTGTTAAATTTCATAATTCAGGGGAGTTAGAAACGATAAAGTATTATAATGTTTGCAGATACGCGTTCGCGTTGCGACGTTGCTGCTTTCACTGAGTGCTGGGTCTGGTAAGCCAGGTTTCAATCAGAGCCATCCAAGCTGAGAAAAGGGCTCACAGTAAACAATACAGGACATAATAAATACAAAGGACAACAACTATGTCATTGTGCCTTTGTTCAGAAATCTTTTTAACATAGGTTCATAACATCTAGCCTGCAACATGCTAGCACAGGAATGAAAACCTTGGATAAAGTTGGCACCATGCCATCAGTACAAATGTTTCTGATGTCACAACAAGTTTGCTTTACTGATGGCTGCAGCTGCAGCTGCCGGTGCGCACATTGCAATGGAGAGACTGATGATTGCTGCGCCAGCTGTGCTGACGCATGGAAGTCTAGACCAGGCTTTGCGTTCACGACATGTCGCTTCTCACTTCTTTGTTTGGCCCAATGCCACTTGTGCAGCTAAGAGTAAGTCATAGTCAGACTGCAGACTCAGACTCGAACATGGTTGGTTGCACTGTTCTTCAATCCGATGGCAAACAGCAGGTGGCTGCTTTCCGGGAAGCGATGGGTCATTTGCAAAAGGTGGTCAAAGTGTCTTGTCAGCAGTAGGCGTGACCAGGGTCAGCAGGAACAACAAAGCTGTCATACTACAACTACAGTAGAGTTGTAACAGTTGTGAATGTGCTTTTCTGATCCAAATCCAGTGGCTAGGGCCGGGCAGGGGCCGGGACAAAGGCAGACCAAGATGAGCACGAGAAAATGATGAGTCGCTGGCGACCGTACGTGAAGCAAAAGCGTGGTGGAGGCAGACCAGCGTACAGCATCTTGCAATTACTTCAGTTTATGGGAATGCTACTGGGCTTGAACCAGGAGGTTTTGGTAAACCTTTAATTATTGTTGTAGAACAAAATGCAGATTCCAATTCTGATGCTTGGAAATATAGATTGGAATCCCGAACTTGGGATTGGGAGTCGGAGCCTTTTTTTTTTGCCGGCTATATACTATAGCCTATAGCCAAGGGCCATTCATTTGCGAAGCGCTGACACCTTCTCCAATGTGTTCTCGGCGGCCATGGAACTGGCTACTTGTGATTTTCAGCTGGAGAGTCTATCTTTGCAGTGGCGAAACTCTGGCTTTGGTGGTGAGTTTGAGCGAATTTGCGATCCTAGGACAAAGAACTTAGCATTTGCAGAATACAAAACTTCAACATTTCTTTGTGGAGTCACACCAGTGCACCAGTGTGAAATTGTACTGTACTCATGATCAAAACTTCAAGACCAAGAAATGAGGGGTGGCTAATTCAACTCTCAGGATGAGGAGGATGAGAATGGTGGCAAAAACAAGTCTGGGTCTGGGCCATCTGCGCCGACTCTCTCTCGGGCTCGGAGCAAACTAGACGTGTTCTTGTGCATGGCAAGACGTGAATACTGGAGACACTGTGGCGGCTTTGATGGCCATTGGTTGAACTTATGTCACCCGGAAGTCAAGTTTGACCATTTTGGCAGAGTGGTCTTGCACAAGATTGAATGTAATTAGTGAGCTGGAAGCTGGAAGTGGGACCTGTCCAGTTCAAGGAAGCAACACATCCAAGAAGACATTATATACATTAGTTGGCGTTGCCTTAATAGTTTAAATGTTAATGTTAGTGTCTTTGTTTAGCACGCCTGCTCTAGCTTAGGTTTCGATGCAAGCAAGCAAAAGTTCGAGGTTCTGATGGTGGAAGAGTTTTCTTCAAGGCCAGTCCAGTCTGTCACCAAAACCAAAATTACATAGGCTATAGGCTATAGGCTATAGATACTATAGATACGGTTGGTTGACTGCAACATTGAAACCTGGGACTTCTGCCTGGCAGGGTCAAGGCAGCTACCGCTGCCTACTTGGAGAGTGTTTGCGTGCTGGATGATGAGCTGGAAACAAAGCTCAAAGACATACTAGGAGAAGATGGTGCGTGGTGGAACCATGGTGGCGGAGGGCTTCGGCGTCCACCTTTTGCTGTTGAACGACGACCGTTACCCATTGTTTGTCTTGGCAAAGGAGACTAGATTGAACATAAATCATTAATGAATTTGGGTTATTTGGTGCTACTTTGGTGCTGTGTAAGTTCGAGATCGTAAAGTTTTGCAACGTTTGTTCAATCCGCGTGACCACATGCGATCAAATGCGATCATATGAGGAGCGACAAATGTGCCACACAGACTAGAGTCTCTTTTGTGGGCTATCATGACAGAGTGTGCTTACAGTTCACCGCGAGAATGTTGCCATTTGTATTGCTCCAGAATTATCAGCGTCACAACAGATCAGGGTGTTGAAGCAACTGTGGCTGCCTGTCCCAGGGTCAATCTTGAGGACATTGTAGCGGAAGCAGCAGCAGAGCTTGGGGGACGTGTTGCTTTGGATCAGCAGGCAATGCCTGCACTAGGAGATGAAAAGCAGAAACTAAATCAGATTGAACTTGAGGACGAACTATCTCTTCGAGATGCCCTTAGTCCTAACCCTGGCATACCTGTTCGAGATCCCGAGAGAGTAATTCCAGACACCATCACCATACCTGCCATACCTGCAGTTGCCGCGGTTGAAGTTGAACCGGTACCGAGTTCTGTTGGCAATGGCCATGACCTTGCAACTGGAAAGGCAACTGATCTCTCGACTGATCTCTCGACAGAAGCCGAAGTTTGCTCCATGCTGTTTGAGAATGCATTTTTGATCCATGGCATCAAACACATTTGCGATAATTTATTGAAAGGAGTATTGCATAACATGAAAGTGTTCCTTGTCTGTGCTCAGTGAGAACATTTTTTGGCGTTGTCAAGTTGTCGCCCAAGGGACTATACAAGTGACATAAATGTGCATGCTTACACTTACACCGTACACCAATCAACACAGGAGAAGGCCCTAGCAGTATCAACAATAGAGGATATGTGTTGGAGTCAGTTTTGTTCGAGAAGTTTGCAAGGTGGCAGCCATTGATCAACGATCTTAAATCGCTCGAGAAGCTTTTGGGAGACCGAATGTTCAGAGAGAGATTCCAAGGGACTTGCATGCGCTCCGCGCCAGATGTTGATTGCAAGCGTTTCAACACGTTCAGCGCAAGTCTTGGAGGACTGAGATGGGAAGCAATCACGGAATTTTGTGCTGCTGCTTCTAGATTCTTCCCATAGAATCTTTTGAGGTGACGGTTGACGGTTGCCAAGGTTGAAGTTGAGGGCTGGGTTAAGCTAAGCATGGTGCCACATAGTGGTGGCTCCAAAGTTCAATAGTTAAACTTAAACCACCACCACTACCACCTAGCAACCTGGTTCTTTATTTGACTGTACACTGTCACGTGCAGCGTGCTTAGATCAGCGGCCTACCACAGTGCGAGGTTTATCCTTTGGAGCCACTGCTGAAATCCTATTGGGACAAGAAAGTATACATGGCAGGCTCCAAGGAAAAGGTGGAGGAGAAAGCTCAGCATCGCCCATGGTTTAGGTCAGATCAAACAGAAACTCGTTATGATCAAAACCACACGCGGGATAATAACATGTTTCTTTGTTCTGACAAAGCCACGGTTCACCGTTCAGAGTGGGATGGCACAGCCAAGGATGACTCTTCAGTCTCAGTGGAAACAATAGACGCTGCAATCAAGTCCAATATGATGTGGGC